GACTTACATTACGTTCTAGGTCTAGAAATTCTGTATAAAGGAGATGGAGTGTTGATATCACAAAGGAAGTTCACAATGGACTTGCTGTCAGAATTTAACTGTATGCAGTATTCAGCTTTGACTTCTCCACTAGACTCCACAGTCAAGCTAAGTGCAGATGAGGGACCCCTGCTGCCTGATCCTTCACATTTCAGGAAGCTAAAAGGTAAGCTGAATTATCTAACTAATACAAGACCTGATATATCTTACAATGTGCAGCATTTGAGTCAGTATATGCAGAATCCTAGGGAGCCCCATTTGAAGGCTGCATACCATGTGTTGAGATACCTCAAGGGTGATCCAAATTTAGGCATCTTCTTGTCCAAAAATGAAAACTATGGAGTACGAGCCTTTTGTGACTCAGATTGGGCAGCCTGCCCTGACTCAAGGAAGTCAGTCAGTGGGTATGTTGTCTTACTGGGTGATGGACCTATTAGTTGGAAGTCGAAGAAGCAACATACTGTCTCATTGTCCTCAGCAGAAGCAGAGTACAGGGCTGTTAGACAAGTCGTGGGAGAACTAGTATGGTTATTGAGGTTACTGGCAGAGTTGACAGTTCCCCTACAACTCCCTGTGCCAGTCTTCTGTGATAGCCAAGCAGCACTGCATATGGCCAAAAACCCTGTGTTCCATGAGCGGACAAAGCATATAGAAGTGGATTGCCACTTTGTAAGAGATCAAGTACATGAAGGGCTTATCACACTACATCATATCTCCACCAATGACCAGCTCGTCGACATATTCACTAAGCCTCTTACATGGGTGAAACACTGCAATTTGCTTAGCAAGTTGGCTGTGAGTTCCTCCCTTCCAACTTGAGGGGGGGTATTGACACACGTATATATTTATCTCATTTTTTGTACAAGTAATATTTTGTATAGGTGAATGTGTATGTAGTACAAGTATAAATAGTAGTAGATACTCTCTCATACAGTGTAATGCACATCCTCTATAGTTTTACATCATTTTCCTATATACCTCTTGTAAAGACACTCATTTTACTATATTCAGAAATTAGAAAATAGAAAAGCTTCTAGAACTCTCTCATCTATGGCTGGTCTCAACCGCCATTAGAGCTCACACAAGGTGAGTTCATCTTCTTCATTTCCTAGTCATTTTGTCAGTTTTTCAAATTTGGCCCTATATATTTACATATCCCAATGTGTCAAGTTAACACTATGCAAAATTTAATTAAGGATAATTTAGTCGAAATAGTTATTTATTTTCTAGGAGTTTGTATTTAATTAAGGGATGTGCCAAAATAAAACAGTCACTTATTACGGATCGGAGGAAATAATTGCTTAGTCATAAAACTAGTTTCAATGATTATTTTTTACCACTTGATATTTAGCATCTATTTTTCATATCAGCAAAAAGAGTTTATGGTGTTCTTGAAATAATGGAACTTCCACTTTTATTAGTGTTATAATTGAAGTAGATCAAGAGAAAGGAACCATATCCAAATGACAAATTTAACTCAATGTCAAACAGGCCGAAGCCTCATGACAAGAAAGACACTCTACACGTCATTTGATTAGATTAGAAAACTCTATAAGCATGTATCAATTTTGGTTAGGCCAACCTTGAAATTATATGTGATTGAATGATGTTTGGATCGAAGCTTACTGCCGACTGGTGTGAGCCTCCCATTCCTCACTAATATGATATGGGCAGTGGCGGAGCTTGTATTTTATTATGGGGTGTCAAAATATAAGGTGGCTCCGCCACCGCATATGAGAAGAGATTAAATACTACTTGTGTAATATTCCCCTCTCTTTTCCCTCCCCTTAAATAATACTAGTAAACTTTTTTTTTTTTAAAGAAGCTTAGTGTAAAAGTAACACAAAACCAGCTCTGTATATTCACAGAGGAGAAAGCATGCACGGGTATTTTAACTGTAGATTCCCCAAGCGTGGCCATTTTCAATGGATCTTGGGTTGGACAACACAAAAGTTCATTTTCATGCTAGAAATTAATTTCCACTTAAAAACAAAATATAAATATGTTTAACAAAATAGTCGTAATTATTGAAAAGCTCCTGTCTTTCTTTTCCAGTCGATGACTATTAAGTATTAATACTACACTAACGAGGACACATGACACGTATTTTAATTTTCCAATTTCTTGTACTCCAATATTTGAGTAAGAACAAGGGTGGTGAATCAACAAAATTATAATAAGGATCGTGCTTAGATGATTTAATATATTTTATTACTTATAAGGATAAAGGAATAATCGATATATAGTTGGACCCAAGACTTATATACTCCTATATGTTGTATGTAAAAGAAAAATTTGCATATGGACAATCACCGATTTTAATGATTAAAAGGAAACGCTTATTATTGATGCATTATGAACAATCATTACTGCATAAGCATGATCAGGCTGAGTAGACGTTCTAAATGAATGTTATTATTTTTATTACATATACGCTTCTTTACAACAAATGTGTTTAATTTTTGTTTGAATATTTTTGTATATACGAATTGAGGAAGCTCCAAAACTATAAATAAAGTTACCTTTTTAAGTATGAAGTGAGTCCGGTATAAAAAATATGATCAAATAAAACAGTTTTGCATGAAGGGGTGAATTTATAGGGTTAGTTTATATGACACATAAACGTATGATTTCTTTGTCAATTAGATATTTTATGCTTTTAGAATTAGTCTAATATTATCGGTCGACACACAAGTTTTGTAAAGATTGAATAGTGTATTTAATTAAATATTGAGTTATTTAGTATTTACCCAAAAAAATATGAATCAATTCCCACTTAATACTTTTTTCCCCTTTTATTTAATAGTACACCCATATTTTAAAAATTCTGACTTTGTTTGTACAGTGGTAGGATTACTTATTTTAATGAAAATTATGTTGGGAAGACCGAAAAAAAAGACACATAATGTGAAAAGAAGATTTTTAAGGACTTTTTTTTTATCTCCCAATAATAATTTGTTACAGTGGTGCTGTTATAATCAGCTAATTTGGATTTTGACTTCACGACATTATATTTCAAGACAAAGACAGAATCGCGCCGCACGGCACGACATCCTCCGTGAATGGCGGTGCGTCTGATGGACTAACAACTTCGCTACGACTCCCTTTCTCTCGAGCAGTTGGATGGTAATTAGTTGAACACAGACATAAAACGTTCGACAAATACGTTAAATATGAGCAAAATCATCGCATTTGTCTTCCTTGTGGACCAACAACAGATCTTTTTTTCGTCCTGGGCAACACATCTTTTTTAACTGTGAAAACGTTGGGGCATTTGTATCTATACCCGCTTTTTGTGTCACATTTTAACCTGTGCCCGCTTTGCAAAAAAAATTGCAAGCGTATCCGCTTTTTCGCATAACTTCAGCACACGGGGCTGAAGTAGCAAAGGCAATCACACAAAACTTCAGCATTTTAGTAGCCGGGCCTGAAGTTCAGCTCTAGAGCTGAAGTTTTTGTTTTGTAACTCGCGAAGTTTTATTTTATAAGTTTTTGTTTAGTAAAGCTGAAGTTTTTATTTTATAACTGGAAAACTTCAGCTCTAGAGCTGAAGTTTTTGTCTTTGTAACTGGGAAACTTCAGCTCTAGAGCTGAAGTTTGCCACTTATAAAATAAAAACTTCAGAACTTCAGCTCTAGAGCTGAAGTTTTATTTTATAAGTTTTTGTTTAGTAACCGGAAAACTTCAGCTCTAGAGCTGAAGTTTGCCAGTTATAAAATAAAAACTTCAGCTCTAGAGCTGAAGTTTTTCTTTTGTACTGGAAAACTTCAGCTCTAGAGCTGAAGTTTTTGTCTTTGTAACCGGAAAACTTCAGCTCTAGAGATGAAGTTTCTATGTTGTAACTAGAAAACTTCAGCTGAAAAACTTCAGCTCTAGAGCTGAAGTTTATATGTTGTAACTAGAAAACTTCAACTCTAGAGCTGAAGTTTTTGTGTTGTAACTGAAAAACTTCAGCTATAGAGCTGAAGTTTTTGTCTAATTAACTTCAGCTCAGGACACCAAGAAGATACAGTTACATCTAATTAACTGTATTGTGATCATCTAATGCATCCGATTTTGCGTTCTGTTTTTATTGCAAAATAAATGCTTTGTTGTTATGTTATTTCGTTTTCGAAAACTTTTCTTTTTAACATTTGAATCTCTGATCGCTGATGATCAGTTTCTCCATTTTCTTTACGGTTTCTATGTTTTATCTATATTACAACATATTTGATTTTCGTGTTGCTGTTTTTTTGTTGGATAAAAATTGGTGCCTTTTTCTGATCAATGGTATGACCATATCATTCCTCAGTCTTCACGGAGTTGTGTTTCCAGACAAAGAGAAAATGAAGAAGGAGAAGGGGAGGAGAAAGGGAAGCTGAAGTTTTTTAAAAAGTGGATATGGGTGCAAACAGAAAGACAAAGCGGCTACAGGTTAAAAAGGGGAGCCGAAATAGGGCGCCCCGTGCAATTTTTACGAAAATGTTGGACATTATGGGCCGTAAAATAAGTAAAAATTGCACGGGGCGCCCTATTTAGTCACCCCCATTTAACCTAGGGAAATTTTCATAGAGCACTATCTTTTAGTAGTAATTAGCCATCTATAGATACCATTTGCTATATTACGGATTATAGATACCTTTTCTGTGGTTATAAGATGTATTTGATGTATTTAAGCTATTGTATTCATGAATACAGTAGCAAAAATAGGCGTGAATCAGGGAAGTCCAGCTAATCAGTTGTTGTATTCGAGTGTATTCGACTGTATTCATGAAGTGAAACATGGGATTACGGCTGGACATATTATTGTATTCGACTATATTCGACTGTATTCACGACGTGAAATAGGGGATTTACACTATTTTTAAAACGGAAAGTGAATCAATTAACATAATAGACTCCTAATATAACTCAACAAAGTCAATTATAACACACAAAAATTGTATTTTCAGTTATAAAAAAGATTCTCAACCGAAAAATTCCCCAAAAACATAGCAATCTTCAGAGAAATTATATAATACATCTGAATACATAAGTTATATTAATTAAAAAAAACATATGAATACATTCATGGCATATAGCGAGACAGTGAATACAATAAAATACATAGAATACAGCAGGATACATTAAAATACAATGAAAAAAAGACAGTGAATACAATGAAATACATGGAATACAACGAGATACATTGAATTACAATGGAAAAAAAGACAATGAATACAATAAAATACATGAAAATACATTAAAATATATTAACAGAAAATCAAGTTGCCCAGCCCCAAACTCCGTCGTCTTTGTTCAAGAACAAACCCTAATTTCCGACGAATCGGCCGTCGAGCAATGGTGGCAGAATAAGGACTCTGTTAAAGCTTGGATCTTGTATTGAAGATGACGGAAAGTTGTATTTGTGGAGGCTGAAAAGGATTGCGTTGATTTCCTCTTTCACATCCTCTCATTGCCTGTGGGCAGTGTTGTCAGGCTTCTTAAGGAGAAAGGGATAAACTCCCATGTTGGAATCTCTTCCGTTCCTCTTCAGGCTTGTTAAGATTGTAAACTTCGAAATCTGATAAATTCTCCGGGACTTCAAATTGCATCGCTTCTTCGTTCGACAAATCGAGCAGAGGGTAATTCTTTATATATAAAAACTCAAGGGAAGCCTGAGATCCCCTGAAATTCCATGGTCGAAATCAGCATCTCTGAAGTGTGCTTTGCACAAATCCGGTGGAAGGAGGAGGAGATTGGAAATTTTAATGTGATGGGGGAAGAGAATGAGATGTATCAAAGTAGAGAGAGAAAGAAAATAGTGTAACTGATTAGCGTATTTAGTGGCTTAGTGTTAG